CCCTGCTTCACGGTCTTCTGGTTGCAGACGGTATGGATTTCCTCTGTCCGGCGTTAGAACAATCAAATCTCATACAAACAATTCTCGAAAGGCAGTGTGTGATAGGCCTCAAGCAGATGTTCAATGAACTCTGTTGTCACAGAAATCTTTTCCCTTTCAGATACTTTGAGAAGAAATGGCCTTCCACGGTGTGGGCAGTCAGTCAGGAAGTGTCAACCATACGCGCACTTCCAGTAGTACACAAGACGCAGTCAAACATGTCTTATCCTCCTCAACTGTGTCTCCTTTGGCTACACTTCCTGGTATTAATATTAAGCCCCTTACACTTTAACTATATCCATGAAAAATGTAAGCAATGTAGAGAGGATCAATTTATTATAAATAAAAATATACTTGTAAGGAATGTTTACACACAATGATGTTACTTACTTTTGGTGAGATTCCGAGCAAAATTACCCTTACACCTTCATTAAACTCTCAACCTGCGACCAATGTGAACGATCAGGGCCATCGAAGCCTCATTCTTAGTCTCCTAAGACTCCTATATGGATTTCACATTCAAGCTTTCAACGCCGGAACTCTACAATCTCGAGCCATGGATGTACGCTGTTTTTGAGACACTTACACAGAACCCGAGTATGATTATTAAAATGATTTCATCTGGCAATAGCACTGAATCTTCAAAACTCACCTTAAGAAACTGAAGACCCAGTGCCTGGCCCTGGTGGACTCGCTGGTGCAGGAATAGAATTGAGTTTTAGGGCAGGAAGTGTGATTCCCCTCTGGATACCAGTCAACTGCTGCACTGCAGTTCGTTCTGACCTGTTATGCAGCTGTGAAACATGGCCGTTCAAAGTAGGAGATATGAAGCAATTACAGGGCTTTTATCACGTGCATTCGTCGCATTGCTTACATGTGATGAAATCACCGTGTGAGCAATGTTGAGGTTAGATGAAGGGTATCAAATGGATGAAGTTGTGAATCTTCACTTACTGAGATGGCCTGGACTGCCCAAGTTACCACACTTCACAGTAGCATACAAAGAACAGGTGGATACAAAAAAGGTGATATCAAAGTAGACGAAGTTATTTGAGAGGATAAACGATCTGAAGATAAAGGTTAATACAAATACTGGGGATTTAGAAGACATCGAGGAGCAAATACATCTGTCATTATGACCGGTTTCCAGACACCACTAAGAGTCTTCAACCGCTGATTCCTACTGACACAGAGACCCCAGCCAGGCTGTCTACATCCTCCCACATGGCTCAAACTAAAATTCAAGGGCTTCGTGAACTGTTGTCAGGTCACGATTTGGCCACCCTGAACCCTCTTCCAACCTAAACGAACTTCCCCCATAGCATGGCAGGTCAAGGTATGCGGAGGCTTGACATGTGCAGTATATGTCCGCTATCGCTATCAACTTTCTCATTTATCTGAGCTTTAGTTAAAATTGTTCCCACTTACTAACTCTCTTCACATGTCTTTCAGTTCCAGGCAGTAGGAATACAACACACAATGATTCAATATCTTCCTCTGGATTACGACAAGAATTAATGAACACTTTTGTGAACAGCTAATGAGTTTCGACAAAAATTGGCTAAAACATCTCACTATGCAAGCATTTTTCACAGCAATAATCAATAATAATGAGAACTACTTAATCTTAGATTATATTCTACAAAATTTGTTCAATGTAATCGCTTTTTCAAACCAAGGAATTTAGAAATAAAGTTTACATAAATACGTAAATACAATTCTAAATTCTCCAAAGTATGATGGTCATTGTTCAGCTGAATAGAGTTTTGACGAATGGTTTGATTGAAAAAACAGTTTTCACCAGGAATACAAGCAAAGAGATGTTGGACAGTTTTGTGTCCTAGTTGTAGATACCTTTGACTCCATCACGTGCACAATGGAGGCCAGGGTCATAGTTTCAAGCTGCAAGGACGTCGCCGTTTAGAAAATGAGCATAAATCTGATTGCTTGCATGTTCTAGTTTACTTTATATATATAGAGGGAATTACGATTAAGGGACACAGTGAGAAGAACATTTGGGGGGACATCACGCACCAGACCAGGCTAGACCCTCAAGTGGAACCAAAAGGGGAAACAACGAGCTGGGAGTCCGAGGGTGATATAGAGGAGATCGTGTGAGGAAGAAATGAAAGCGTATGGGCAGTCGTGGAGTCAGGTCAAAAAGACTGTAGAGAACAAAGTGAAATGGCGACGTGCTACTGAAGCCCTGTGTTTCACTAGGAACCCAAGAGAAAAATAATATTGAATAATAGAATAAAAATCTGCCCAGGATATATATACGTGGGAGATACACCATAAAAATGCTCGGCTAACTGGGATCAATACTGATGGTCTTAAGTCCCCAACCAAATAAAACGCCTGAAGTGTCCCACGTTTCAGATCAGTTACTTTATACTCATGTCATGTACACGTCACATGACACTGTGGTTGCCTTTATTATATCCGAACTGCAGACAACATATCCACCGACCATGCCCCGCTTACTTGTCGCAAGACCTCTTTTACTGGACAAGCAAGCCAGGCACATACTGAGTTATGAATAATCAGCTGATTGTAGTCATATTTCTCTGACAGCAAACAATACGCTGTTCACAGAAAGAGGAGCTCCATCTCACTGTTTACCGAGGCTAACGCCCCCCCAAGGTGCCGTTCTTTACCTTGGTCTTCCTTCCTGCACGATTTTCCTTCTTTAACAAGTATCGACTTTTTGAAATTGCTTATGACTTGACAGTTTCCTTATTTGCCTCCCCTTAAAACGGACTTCTCCAAAGCGAATGATTTCCTATCTACCATATGACGATGACTGAAAACTGAGAAAACCAACGTAAAACCTCGCACACAAGTGTAATCGGCTCAAGTTACCACACTTAACAGAGAATACCGCTTCAAAACGTACAGGAAGAGAGAAAAAGACTGATATAAAAGTAGACTAAGTTGTATAAGGGAATAAACAATCAGAAAATAACAGATAATGCAAATATTCAAGGAGTGAATACATCTGCAACATTGTTACCGATTTTCAGCAAACTCACCAAATGTTCTCAACAAGTGATTCCAGATGTCGCGAGGATCCTAGCTAGGTTAGCCAACAGCTCCTCAAGAACACGACTCAGACCAACAGTTAGGGAGTTCATTGACTGGTGCCATGTATTGGTCTGGCTACTCTCAACCCTCTTCCAACCTAATCCAACTTCAACTAGCATGGCACGTCAAGGTAGGCAGTGGCTCGGCATGCGCAGTACATGTCCAAAACATCTCAGACCACAACTTCCCCAGTCGACTTGCCTTTCTTGTTTGGTACTCTTTATCTAACCCTAACTTTCTTCACAAGGGGTGATTCCATCAAACGCAAGCAATGCTACAAAGACACATATTTTCTACTTCCAACAAACATGTCACACAACTGCATAACAGGATAGAACGGGTTGCAGCGTAGTATACTCGTCCTTTGATAAGTAGTCTGATCTCAGCACTCCGTTCAAGCTGATACAACTTCCGAAGTAAGTGAAGTGAACAGGATATTTCACCACTTCACTCGCTATCATTAAACTAGAAGTAGTTTCAGACCGGTCCTTCAGTACCATCTTAAATATGACGGATACAAGTGAAACCCATGCCAAACATAATCAGACTTCTGTTCAACGTCTTCGCAAGACCCTGCATTTTGTCAGCATCTTCACCCAGCAGGGCAGTATTATCTGCACACTCCAAGTCAACCAGATAACCTCCACGGAGTAGGTTAGTCCTTGTGAAGTTGGACGTGTCTAAGACTACGCCCAATAATACGTGTATGAAGAAGTTAAATAAGAACGGTGATAGTAAACATTCTTGAGGGGATAACACTAGTTGTTATCACTTCACATGACAACTCTTCAAAAGCCCTTGCAAGGCTGTATCAGTCCGAGTAGACAGCTTTATTTAGTGTTATTTTCTTGCTCGGTACTCCCTTCACGGTCAGAAACCGCCACAACATCTCGCGATCAGTTGAACCAAATGCCCTCTTCAGGTCAAGAAATATGACCAATATCGGCCACCGGTAAGTATGGCTATGTTCTAGGACTTGCAGGAGGGTGGAAATTTGATCGATGCACCCTCGTCCAGCTGTTTGAAACTTGGTTTTCTCGAGCGCTATTATGGTGTCAGATCACTATGGACCCTACCGTCGTGGACACAATATTAGTCAAACTGATTCCTCTCCGGAATCAGATTTTTCTCTCTTCTTATAGTCCGAACTGCCTGTTAGGCATTCTGTCGAATCCTGTAATACCTTTCAGATCGAAGAAACTTTTGAAAAACACAAACCAAAAAATTAGGAATGAAGAAAATATTGAATGAATCAACTTGAATCAACTAATCAGCATAACAAACCACATCAAGAGTCACATGAGTAACAACAGTTGAAGGAAACCAAAATTCATTTTGCAAATTTATAAATATTTCTTCTTCCTGACTTCTTGCTGTGGTTCTTTTTTTGTCGCGTTTATTTCTTTCAACCAAAAGCTGCAAAGAATTGTTGTGACAAGGATAGCAGATAAAGAACTTTTTGAAAAAAACTAAGACATTCCAATGGAGAGATATTATACCCAATAGATATAGAGAGAAATGCATACTCTATTTAGAATCTCTATTCATTTATCATGAGTTGTTGGTTTTGTGCACTGGTTTTGAAGACTCGACACCTTCGATTTCATTGGATATCTTGATAACTTCATCATTGTCACCAGTACTGCCATCATCACCATCATCATCATCACTATGTACACGTTTCTGTCCACTTATGAGTGAATCCGAAGAAGAAATGTCTATAGTGATACTAGAAGAAATACGATTGGGTTCATTTACACTAGGAGAACACAGAGAAGGCGACGAATCAGCGGCAACAACAGCGGCAGCAAGGACAGGAGCACATACTGTTGTAGAAGAGGATGACTGTACATCAGACGGGTGATCATTCGAATTGGTTATTGTTCTGTTGTCTTGACGATTTTCCATCGTTTTTGTTGACTTTTTAATGTTTTCAATTGTTTACGATGCTTGTGTAAATAACGTTCCCAACTGTTATGATTTAACTTGTTGAAATCATTCTCCTTTAGTGCAATCAGCTCTAAGTATTCAATCAAGTGAAGCAATTCACGATCATGTGAACAATTAGTATGAGCATCACGATATGAACGTATCTAAAGAAAATAAGAAAAAAGGGATAGAAAAGTGCGACTGTGTACTACTCTATGAATTGATCAGAACGATCGCTCACTGCAAGTTTGTTTGAAACAATTCGCAGGAATCCCTGCTTGACTTGGGTTTTGTAATTTTTGGCACTCATCCGCAAACCGTACCTGCAACCTCTTTCGAATTGATGTCTTGTTTGAGATTCGGACCCACATCGCTCGGTGCTACACACTACCACCGAGCTATCTACACCACTGTTGACCTCTAATAGGATTAGTTTAGATAAACTGATTGGTCTGTAAAGCGTTTCTCATTACATGTTGTCTAGTCCTGGGCGCTGACCAGATCCTACCAGTCATTTTTCAATGTTACCGCCAAACTAGCAGACTCACTATCGCAGTACACTTTGACGGACGTTAGTGGTCGGAGGCAAACGGCAGGAAGCTGGGAACTTAAGTGTCATGTTCAGTGGTAACGTCACTGATTGCAGCAGTCAGCGACGAAAGTCCAATCTCAGACAGGCAACAGTTCCCTCGCGGTTGCAAATATGCCTTGCTGACGAGTGCTAAGAATTACGAATTCTAGGTCGGGGAGGTCTTTCTATCAATCGCTTCCAACCACCCAATATCAGTTAATGAGTACCAAGATGCTGAATATCGTAGCTTGATAGCTACATCGTAAAATGGCTGATAGAATCCGGTCAGTATTCAGGGCTATACAACATGAAATCGGCTACCCTCCATAGATCAGTCAATGTACGATGTGCATATATCATGAATGTGACTGAGTCTACAACTATTTTGTGGCACCCACGATAGACGACTTTCTCAATCCAAGATCCCAAATCAAAGAGGAGGTAGTCAGAAGTCAAAGGTTTGATAAGCATGAAAAATACCACTCAGCCAAGTAGCATTAGTCGAAAGTCCATTGAAGACCGAATGTTTAGTGGTTCAATATTTATAATATAACAGAATCCGGTAACCAGACATCATAGCCACCAAACACTTCAAGACCCATGATACACCAATTATTCAGGTTTCTCGAGATAGGACCCTATTACTACTCTTACTGTTCATTGGTTTACGGAGATACCTTTCAACAAATGGGTCACGGGTTCAAACCTCACTCCACCTAACGAGGTTTGGATAGCCAGGTAGTATCACTAGTCCTCACACAATAGGTGTGGTTCGCTGCCTACTGCACGAATGTGCGCAAACTTGATGAGTGTATTTCAATTTTTTCTATTAGTACACGCGACACACATCCTATTGTCTATTAAGGGTCACGTATACTGCACAACAGTCCGCTCTGTGATATCTTTTGGCTGTGAAACATGGCCATTAAAGGTGGAAGACATGAGAAACTTCAGGTGTTTGACCACCGTTGCCTTCGTGGTATAGGCCGTATTCCGTGGTGTCACCATGTGAGTAACGCAGAGTCAGGTGTAGAGTTTTAGGGAGTAGAGATAAATCAGTTGACGAAGTTATGAACCTTCATCGACTGAGATGGTTGGGACACTTGTTACGTATGCCTAGTCGCCGATTGCCTCGTCACACAATGTTTCGCCAAAGTAGGTCCAGGCTGGAAAAAGGCTCGAGGTGGCCAGACTAAAACATGGCACCAATGTATGAAGTCCTTGACTATTGATTTGAGCATGTGGGGGTGATGAAGACTGAGTGGTTTGGGTCGGTGAGACAAGAGGAACTAGTGGTTGGAGACTCTAGGTGATATGGCTCAGAACCGATGTCAGTGGTGCAGATGTATACATAGATTATCCTCATCTTAACGATGCTATACCGAATCTCACCATTTTCTCATTCTTCGTTTCTCTCTTTTCGTACTTTATATTTCCTTTCACTGAATTTCTTATTTCATCTTGCGCCTCACTGCCTTTTTATTTGATGTAGTGATTGAGGTGTGGCAACTCGGACTGTTACGCAGTAATGCCTGGTCCTATGTTGATGATAATGATAATGATGATAAGACAAGAAAACAACTTACTCTTAGTCCACTCTGAGGATTCATGATAAAATTTCGGCGAACATCATCAAACATAATTGTATTATGTGGTCCCCAGTGAGGATGATTCTTCCAAATAACTGCTAGTGGTTTAACCTTTCAGAAAAAGGCATAAACGTTACACAAAAAGGTGTACGAATGAAAAACGCTGAATTAAAAAAAATTTGATACTTTACTTACATCAAAATAGAAAAATAACAAGATCTATGAACTATATTTTATTGCTTGAAGTAAAGCAGTGATTAAAACTCGGTGGAAATCACCATTATAAACGTAATCACTATAGTGCTTTGAATAATCCAAATACCTGGTTTTATGTACAATCAGATGAAGAATAACCCGTATTCATATGTTAGACTGCCAAAATGAAGTGGAACGGGACAGTATGCTATCGATTTAAGTGGTCCCCGAGAGGATAGCAATTAGTTATTGAAGACTGCTAGTGATTTTGCTGGAAATCGGTGACAACGGCGCAGATGTATTTGCTCCTTAATATTTTTTGAAGCTTGAGTATTTGAACTAACCGTTGTCTTCAGATTGTTTATTCCCTCACACAACTTTGTCTAGTTTTATATCACTCTTTTTCTACCTACCCGTTCTTTTTGTACTACTGTAGTGTCACAACTTCAACCAATACATTTACTTGCGAGGTTCCACGTCTGTGTCTGTCATTATTTTGAAAGCTGAGGCACAATAAAAGTAGACCAAAAAGTGAATATAAATAGTAGCAAGGGACTTGAAAACCCGAGATTAAAAATCTGGCAGACAGAAAACACCGGCTCAAATTGCCACAATTCACAGCAGCATAGAAAGAAAAATTGGATAGAAAAAGACATATCAATGTAGATAAAAGTATACGGTAGAAGAAACAAAAGTAAAGATTAGTGAAAACGTCCAAGGTTTCGAAGCCATCATCCGCACTATTTTGAGCGATTTTCAGTCATGTCACCAAGGCTGTCCAACCATTGGCTTTTACTCCATGACCGCGGCCAGGCAGTCTACACCTCCCTACACGGCTCAGATCAAAAGTCACAAACTAGTTCCGTATCTTCATCTGAACCTTTCCTCAACCCAATCGTACTTCAGCTTAAAATACACGTCGAGATAGGCGGTGACTCGGTATGCGCCGTACATGTCCAAACTACTTCAGCGAGTAGATTTTCCCAGCCTAGTCCTGGCATGCCTTCTATGCCTAGTACCCTTCGCCTAACTTCAACAATACTCACACGGAGACTCCACCATATATGAGTAGTGCTACGAAGATATTTGTGGTCAGAAACCACCACTTTTTTCAGCGGCCATGTCTCACAGCTATATAACAAGACAGAGTGGATTGTAGCGCAGTACGTTCGCCCCGTAATAGGTAATTTGATATGAACACAGAATATATTTATTATCTGCAGCAGGACAGAATGTAGGTGTCTATGATACTTACATCGATTTCAAACCAAGCCAATTAGTATTGCTTACCACCAATTTCTACTATGCTGCAAATCACAAAAGGTCTACAACTGTCTAAACAGTCATTATAACTACAGATACAAATTTCAAACGGTCATGTAACAGGTAGACATCATTTATATTTCACTCAGGTCCCCCAAGACCTGCAATCTATTCACTGTACAGAAGGCAAAATAAGTATACGCTATCACTAACCTATTCTGTTTACAGTTGTTTACAACCTAGTTTATAGAATTAATAGAATAATAATGAAATGGTTGTACAACTCTTCAAAATAACTAAAGGGAACTCTAACCAAGTGCATGACAGTAAATGACAGTCTCTAGAAAATATATTATGGTCAATAAAACGAGTAATATATTGAGTTTGTAAAGACGTGCTTCCCATATGTAAAGGAGCTGTTGAGTATCGGCACTTCACCTACTTCAGCCTGGCCGGTTGGGCAGTAACAAACCCTGGTACAACAAGTGGGGCTCATATGTATTCTAGCACATGAACACGTACCAAGATGGATTACATTACTAGTTTATATTCTGAGAGAATCCCGACTGTTATTTCCTTTAAGCGTTAGTTTTGAGGAGTAAAGGCGATTATACATTGATAGTCTTCGTATGCTAATGATTTCCGTTTTAAATGTGACTTCATTTAGGAGTTGAAAACGAAATCTCTTGGAACCGGTAGTCCTCCATAGTTGTAGAATAAGTTTTCAGTCACACATACTGCGTGGCCGCCAATTATGATATGACCTGGCTGCAGAAACAAAAAGGTAAGATATGAACATAAGAACCAATTTTTTGATGGTGAATGCTCAGATCCCTAAGTCTAAATACAGTATGACTACTAAGCTATGAGCTGGATTGTTGTGCGATTTATTAAACAGCAATTCAAACTAGTTGATATAGGTTGGTTTGAACTTGTAACACTAATGGAGCTTACATAAATGAATAACTGTCTTGGTAATCACTATGAAAATTTACAATGAGATTAAAACTAGTAAGAAGTATGAAGGTATAACATAGAGACTATATCATAACCGTCGTACAATGAGTGGCTATCCTGACTTTGTGGCCTAGTGGATAACGCTCTGGAGTTAAAAGCGACTGGTCCTGAGTTCCAGTCTTGGTGAAAACAACGTCACTCACTGGAAGGCAGGTACATCCAGATGACGAGTCCCAAATGGGACGAAGAGCACGTCCTGCACTTCACTGCTAGCCACTATCCACCGCTAGTAAAAAGTAATTGAATAGTCATTAATGTAATAAGGTTTTTACTCACTTCTTTGATACCATGTTCGGTAAATTCTACACTAATCATATCCGATGAATCAAGAATTAAAGCTATTTGAAAAGATCTGCCAGAGTGATTATCAGCTGAATTCAAGTTTTCTGAAGGTAGTAAATTACTGACTGTTGAGTCAGAACCACCAACTTGGTGATTTCGATGTTGGAATGTTCTAGCGACACTCATTGGAATAATGCCCAGTTGACCTAATTTCGCTAGAATCCATGTCATACTGGTTGCGGACCATATAGCGATATCGTAATGCACATAAGCACGAGTTAGAAACTCCGTTAGATACGGACGAGCCAAATGATGTGCTGATTCGGCTGGTGTAAGGTGATCTATTGACATACGAGGAAAAAAGGATAACAAAGGTTCACAGAAAAAAAGAATACACAAAAATAAAGTTATTGTGTCGTAAAACCCATTTCGAGCTGAAAAGTTTCATCCCTCAACCTACGTTACGATTTAATGTATTCAATAATTCAAAAATAACAATTCAGCATTTTTACCACAATCAGGAAAATTTATCTACGTGGAAGAACGAGTAAGTGAGGGTAGAAGTCTAGGCAAATATATAGTAATATCAAAAAAGCATGAAGGCAACCTACGTTTTTTGCGACAAATAAAGGAAATGATGTCGTTGTGATGCAATTATGAATTCAGATAGATCTTACTTAGCCGTCTGTAAAGAGAATAAACGTCAATAGGAAACAGCACTGCTTTCTGATGATTCTCGTAATCAAACAAGAAATATAACCTCCAATCTAAAAATAATACGCGATCTTTAGGTTTCATTACTGCAGAAAAATAAAGTTGATATTGTGTGAAAATAAGGTTCAGCAGATGTAGCAGGACACCATGAGAGTTGTACAAAAATGAAGCTTTTCAGAAGCCAGATCAGAACAAAGTATATCAGTTCAGCTTTTATTGTTTGGATGAGTTGCAATTAGCACTGTATTAGGTCAGTCAAATTTTGGCACCCCCGATCAAGATACCCACTGATCACTAATTTCTTCCCTAAAATGAATATTAATCACGCTTACCTAAATGTAACCCGAAGACTTCAAATTATTATCAGTCACTCTAAGTCCTCATGTCCATTATTTGTCCAAATAAGTTCCTTGTTATCATTTTACTCGGAGGAAATTTTTAAGAGCCACTGAATTAGTTCAACTTCTGGTTGTAAGTTTTCATACCGTTATACAGCAGCTCTCATGCACGGCTAAAATGACCAGTTATTTTGTTTTTTTTAGCAGGCAAGGTTAGCTTCTAACTATGTAAAAATTGATATTAGGCATTATAATGCTAACTTTAGTACAGTGGCACGGTTTCATGTGAAAAACTAGCGTTTGAGCTCACGGGTGCATAAACGAGGCCATCCATATGACGAATACGTTAGGAAGCCTCGGAAACACTTAGATGAGATGACAACACTATAGAGATGATAAAGTAGTGAAACTAATCATTTTAATCCCCTTCAGGTTATATAACAACTAGTCAACAAACAAACAAGGCTACCATCAATCGAAATTATGGCATCTTGGCAGAAGGTTGTTTACGGTTGGAACTGCTCCAGTGGACTAACAGTCTAGTCAAGGATTTCATGTGATAAAAGCAAGCTATTGACAAATGCCTTAAATCAGTCATATGGAGACAGTCATAACGTGAAATGAAGTAAAGTCACGCAAAAATAAACATGGATAAACACTTTCTGAAGGGAAATGACAATGCGTGAAACTGTATGATTACCAAATATTGTATAGTCTATATCCAGTACCAGCAATTTTTTTCCATCTCGAAACTCTGCCAACTTTCGAGGACGATAAGCTTTGCAACGCTTTTCAACCTTCTCAATATTCTCCGGCCTAAGAGTTTTTTAAAAATAAATTAAAATTACGCGTGACAAAGATCAATATCTTCTTCTTTATAATCAAAATCATCGACAACATCAGGACAATCTTTTGCACTGTTAACCTGGAACTGATGGGGCAGTCGTTAAAATGAGAGATATTTACAATTTCCTCCTGAGTTGACCCAATAAGCATTAACCTGGTGTTAGCTTTCAACAGCAAACATGATAACTTAGTCGAGTTTGTCACAGGATCATCTACATAATTAAAGAATATTAGAGTTGAGGACAGACACACTGTTTCTTGTACGGAGACCTAGAATTTTCTGGTTTTCGGGTAAGACACTAGTCCGTCTATACAGCTCCTCCTTCAGATCACAAATACTGTGATCAGAAGATAAACAGTCGACAAGAATTTCCCGTCCGTTATGCTTAGCTGTATTGGAATCTTATCACCTTTATCAGACATTCAAAAGATGCATTAATCGTCAAGGTCACTGAGGCCGCTCTTTTGTCAACAGGCAGCATTCAATATGTTTTACGGGCTTGAGTAAACCAGTTGAACTCTTCATGCTCGATTCTTGGTCTTGTGAAATGGTTCCAGGTCTTTGGTGGTTTCCGTTTCTGATATAGTTCTGGTCAGCGCGCGCTTTGAAAACAAGAAGTGAACTTTTCCGCATTTGGCATTTCTGCTTTTGTTGTGTAATCCGCACCTAGAGGTTTCATATAAACCTTGACTTGAAGTACTTAAGTCACTGTTTGAGTTCTTATCAATTTTTGAGACTAAGAGTGGGCTTTGTGTTGTCACAACTCACGTTATCGTTGGATATCGTTGGCGCGCTCCTTGAGTAGTGACGTGTTTCGCTCGTCTCTCAGCTTTTGGATTTTTCCACAATGAAAAACTCCCACTTGCAATACTCAATCTAAAAACATTGAACGTTTGCAGCACTTCTGTCCGTCCACGCACCTCACCCCTGCGTATTCGTCAGCTCACTCCTCAACAGTTGAAAATTGGCATTATTATTCCTTTGAACCAACCGGTCTACCTCCTGTCAGTGGTTCTTGGGCGTTTCAACTGCCAAGCTGCCTTAGCTCTCGGTTCTCCTTGGAGGTCATTCACCAGGAAATATCTTTCCTGGTTATACATACACATCTGGAGCTTACGGTTAAACTCGTTGGTCAAGAGCAGAGGATCAAGTGACAAGTGTCTGAAGGTGAGCCAACATAAATTATCTTCCCTTTTCTATTCTGTCCTTTTGCTGCATTCAGTCTTCAACCCTCTTATTGTTGTTAACTACTTGTTTTCCCAAGAAGTTTATATCATAGCGACATGTCTGCCCAAAACGCTAGGTCTGAAGCTTTGACACGGATAACGCGGTCGTGCACAACAACGGCCAGTAACACCCTAAACAACACACTAGTCTGTACTAGAAGACAAACAGAGGTAGGGCAGAACACCGAACTTCTATGAAGTGGCCAACCCATGTTTCTAGAATTCCAGTCGCCATCAGACAGGTGACACAGAGTAGCACTAGCCCGTCACAAACTAGTCCTATCTTGAGCAAGGATCATACCATGCCTGAAATAGAAGACGACGTAAAAGGCTTCAGAACAAGGCAGCCACAAGCAGTTCGCCACAATCCGTAGCACCTTATTCATGGAAGGAAGGCTGTATTACGACACCCGATGGCTGCAGTGTTTGCACCAAAGTTGTTTCGGTAGTCGATGAGGCATTTGCATGCAACCTATGTCAACGATGGGCGCATTGCCACTGCGATACCAAAGTCCCCCGACAATACTATAAGCTGATGAAGAGACAACCATGCAAGTGGTTCTGGTACATCTGTCCAGAGTGCAGGAAAATGCCCGCACTCCGCACAGAAAGCCTGAAGGAGATGCTCTCCGCCACGCAAAAGCTACCAGCATCCTCGAATAAAGTAGGGTTAACACCAAAGGATAACACAGAGAGACCTGGAAACAGACCTAGAGCTCCAGCTGTGGGCACGCCACCTCGCGTGGGGACCATATTAGGTCAAGTCTCCATACCCCTACCCGGCCCCAGGGGACGTCAAGCGCATGGCCAAAGACATCGACCGCCGAAGCCTCTACGAAACCCATTCCGAACACCCCACACACCGTGACTGAGAAACAACCAGTGGAATTACTCAAACCCATTTGGAAGTCGGGCGTGCCACCCACAACGAACCCAGGTCACAGGAGGACCAACTCGATCATTTTGTTCAACGTCGATGTATCGACAGACTCATTGTTGGTCGAGAGGGAACAATTTGACAGCCGAATGTGGACCGACTACTGTCAGATGCTGGGACTCCCTCCCCTCCCTGCAACTTTGTGTCGCCTTTCTCGAGGAAGCCATGCACCCCGAGATAAGCCACCCCCTTTACGTGTGTCCCTAAATACCGCCAAAGAGGCTGAAGACACACTCCTCCTCTCGCGACAACCGGACGTTGTTAATGCCTGTAAAATTCGGGCCAGGCCTGACAAGCCATGGTCAATAAGAGAGGAGGAGAGAAAGTCAGCGGTTGGAAATCCCAACAGAAACAACACTATAGTTGTACATGGGATTCCAGAATTGCCAAGTGACAGCTCGGTCAAAGATCGGTACTTTCACGACGTCCAACAATGGCAATGGCTCTCAACCAAAGTTGGTCTCAACAGTATACCGGCCAACAGCGTCAGTAGACTGCCAAGGCCAGCGCACCTGAAGACCATACCCAATCCCAGACTACTTGCCGTCCAGTTCGACTCATATGCCTCCCTCACAGACGTTCTGCACGCATGGTATAATGCGAAAGATCGCATGGGTGGCTCAATACGTATATGTGAAAGTAAGCCTAGACCCACAAGGCAAGAGGAGAGACGGCAACCACCAAGACCTCTGGAGTCAGTGGTCGTCACACAGGCGCTGACCAGTGAGTTAGATACATCAAGTAAAGAAGCCACCACTGCTACAGCCCCCACCCAAGTTAAGAACAAAACACAAAAAACGGAACAATGCCAGTCCTATGAGGACTGGCGAGGCTAAAATCAACCACGTAAGCGCTCATCCCTCGAAAATACACATCCAGACCTCCCCTCTCATCAGGTACACTCTAATATGTATGTACAGCAACGTTAGGGGGCTAAGAGGGAAGGTAGCAAAATGAGGACGCTGCGTGAACATCAGCACCACGACATCATATTCATCACCGAATCCTGGCTCTCATCGGACATCTCCGACGAAGAGATGCGTGTTGCTGGCATGGAACTCTTCCGCAGGGACAGGGAACATAGAGCAGGAGGGGGAGTGGCTATCTACGTAAACTCCTGTTTAAAGGCAAGGATGGTTAGCGATACGGCCTTAACCCAGCTCCCAGAGTCTCTATGGTGCTACTTCACTCTCTTCTTTATTCTCTCTTCATTCCTTTACCACTACCTTACTATTCTCTTTCAGGTACCTACACAGACAGGAGTCATGGCAGTTCTCTAAACTTCCCAGCAACCCGTAGCTCCCTAATCACTCTACAAATTACAACCTACTAACCCACAAAACATCCACCTCACCGAAGCTAAAAGCAAGAAAGCAGAGGGATTTCCTCGTCCACTGCAGGAGTAAACCGAACAACTGGAACCAAGCCCTAAGAACTAGACGCGAGAGATCAAAAACTACCAGTTTTCTACGCTCGCACTATCAATATTGGATATTGGAAGTCCCTTGTCGGAATTTTGACCGAGTACTTTAGTTAGTCCACGACACAAGTGAATAACATTGTCAGCGATGATCAGGTTTGCGGTCGTCCCAGCCGTAAACTTCCAGTGGATGAAGGTATGCAATGTGATGCATGTGGATGTTGGTTCCACAAAGTTTGTACAGGATTGACACCAACCGTGTACAAGCGTTGCAGCAAACCAGCTTCTGCATGGTTATGTGATTTCTGCTGCAAGCCGTTGCCAACCCTCATCTAGGAAGCTGTTAAAAATTTACTTGTCAAAAAACAGCTATGCAGAAATGATAGCTGTCATTCTACTGCGGTATCGGATGATGACGCTGAAAGTGTAATCGTTAATATATCTGACACAGGACCTCTCATTGGACTAATGGATGCTGGTGATCCAGTTGGTGAAATTACACCAGTTTCGAATCGTACTCGACGCAAGGGAAAACCAATGGCAAGTGGTACACCAACCGTAATGCTTGAGGACTCACCGAAAGCCTGAATCTCTGGAAACAATATTGACTCTGTAAAAGTGGTTATCGAATCTACACGGATTTCTCCAAGAAAGCATCCAAAGATACTGCCAAGGGTTATCACGGAAGATGCTAAGCTTATGAAATCTATTGAGAAGGTTTCAAACGCCATCAACACATGAGCCAAGGATTCCACCGCAACGCCCAGTTTTTTGATCTTCTTGAATATTGAGGAGTCGTCAGACAAAGATGCTTCAATATGTCGCGGCCATGACCTGCAACTAGTCAAGTCGTCCATCAGGCGTATTCCGCCTGAAAAGTCTGAAGGGGTACACATCTCTAAAGTAGTTAGGTTAGGTAAGAAAACGGACGGAAAACCTGATGAGAAGAGAATTTTGAAGGTTGTTTTGGGCAACAAGGATGAAGTGGATGTACTCTTGAGTAACGTGTCCAAACTACGGAATACGGATATCTGCACCCGCTGACTGGCCCCTCGAGGACTGCATAGGTAGGAGAGAAGCTGTTGCGGAACTTAAGGCTCGACAAGCTGATGAAGAAAATGATCTTAAGATAGTGGGTTTTCGGGTTGTGGGTGGGTCATGGAACTCTTCCAACACAATGAAAGTTATCTACACTAATGTTGGCAGTATTAGAAGCAAAATGACAGACCTCGAGGCTCTAATCTGCGAACTAGGTCCTGATGTGGTGGCCGTTACTGAAACCTGGTTAATCAAGGATCTAGATTTTTCGCCACCCATAGCAGGGTACTACTGTGTAAGGACGGATAGGGTTATGGGTCGCGAAAGTGGCGGCGTACTACTATATGTTCGGGATGACGTCCACGTACGATTAGTCACTTCTGAAGCACATGAATGCGGGACCTGTGAAGTGGCCAGTTGTGGGCTGAAGTCAAAGCATGGTTTCTGTACTATCGGGTTTGGACCATCGACAAGGACTCATCAATTGAGAATGCATGGAATAGGCTTAGAACTCTATTTGAAGAGGCAGCAATGCCATTTATTCCATGTTCGACTCCACGACGATCCTCACATCGCCCTCCTTGGTTTAATGAAGACATTAAGAGACTGCTAAGGCGGAGGAAACGTTTATGGGACTGTTTCTAGAAACTAGACTGCAGACACTTAAGACTGAGTTCTGCAAAGTCCGTAATCTCTGCGAGACTTTGATTACACGGTCTCGAATGCCTTACGAGAAGCAGCTTGTGAGGGAATGCCAAAAATTGTCCTAAAAGACTGTTCGCATTCTTCAGAGGGAGGACTAAAAGGAAATGCGGAATCCCCTTTCTGGCAACGGATGAGAAGTCCGATAG